ACACACACACACACACACACACACACACACACACTCACACTCACACGCAGGAATTCCAGGAATGTCAACTTGGCACAGGCTTCTCTCCCCAATTCTAAGTAAACAAGGCTTCCAGGGGCAGGACGGAGCTGAGTCCCACCTCCAAGAAGCCTTCGGGAGCCTTCCACCCCATCCTTCGGGCCCACCCTACAGACCATCTCCTAACCCACTGCCATGCCACCCTCACCTCTGGCCACCAGCTGCCTTCAGTCCTGATCCTGAGTCTGAGCCCAGGCCACAGTGACTCACAGGCCCCCACTGCCCCTCTGGCCAGGGCAGGATGTTGGGGGAGGGGACAGGACCGGGAAGTCGCCTAGCTCGTGGCTCTGCACGTGGCTCCGTGGGGGATGGCAAGAGCTGCTAGGGAGGCTGTCCTGGGTGACAGCGCGGGCACAACCACCAAGTTGGGCAGTGGCTCTGACCATCCACACTCAAGACCCAGGAGACCCTTCTCGAACTCCCCTACAACGACGGAAAGTACAGTTTTTGCTTCCCAGAGGCACCTAGCAAATGTCTAGGACCCCCGAGGCTTCACTCCCCCCAGCCTCCAAACTTCTTAGAGAGGCTCCAAGCTCTAGGGAGCCTCTCTAACTTCTCACTAGAAGCTGCCTGGTCCTCCTAAGAGTAGCCCCCGGCACAGCAAGAAGGCGCTGTGACCAGGGTGACACACTTCCCCAGAAGCCAGCACCTCGTCCACTCCCTTAAGTCCTTAGGTCACCTCCAGGTGAGGCAGACCTGTGGCCCCTAGCGGTCCCTCAGGCAATCTCCACGTCCGAGCCAAACTGCCCAAGAGAAAGAGGTTAAAAGGCCTGCTCATAGGGTGCCTCCTCCACGATGCCTTCCCGGACCACCGCCCTCCTCCTCTCCGCGAGAAAAGCCTCTTCTAGCCCCTTCTCGGGGAAGGAGAGGACTGCTGAGCGCGGGAAGCCGCCGTCGGAGCCTGGGACACCGCGCCGCCGACGGTTCCGCGGCGGAAGGGAAGGAACACCCCAAACTCCACGGCCCGGACTCCGGCGGGGCACCTCGGGTAAAGGACTCCAAACCGAGACCCCTTGGAATCCCGGCCAGAAGGCGGGAAGACCACCTCGACCGTGCGCAAAAGGCAGCCCGCCCCCTCCCCCGCGCCACCACTTGTTGCCACCTCTCGGCTCGAGTCTGCACGCGATCGGGCCAGCGGGACCCCCGCCCGAAGACCCGCCGTACCTGCGAGCGCCACCACTACGCGAAGCGGCTGTCAGTCAAACCGACACGAGAAACGCGAACCGCCGGCGGCGCGTACCTTTCGGCCTGGCTCGGACGCCGTAGCGACGGGTTGTACCAGCACGGAGAGGGGGGCTCCCGGGATGCTGCCACGGGCAGGCAGACTCTAGGAGCTCCGGGTGGGTGCGAGCGGGAGCACCGCCACTTCTGGGTGACGGCGGGAGTGGGGGCCGGGCAGCGGCGGGGTTCGGGGAGATGCGGGGCGGGGCTCAGGATCGTCAGGGGCGGAGCTCGGGCGGAAGGAGCCCCGCGCTGTAGGCGCGCCTGGGCCGGGCCTTGAAAAGTTGCTTTCCGTAGCTCGCACGCCAGACGCCGCCATGATCATCCCAGTGCGCTGCTTCACCTGCGGGAAGATCGTCGGCAACAAATGGGAAGCCTATCTGGGTCTGCTGCAGGCCGAGTACACCGAAGGGTGAGGCGGCGGGCCTGTGGGGGACGGGGCGGGAAGGTCGGCCTGAGGTCGTGAAGCTGAAGGGCCGAGATGAGAGATGTGCAGCAGACCCGGGGGTGAGACTGAGGTATCCTGGGTCAGGGGTAGATGAAGACTTTGGAGGGAGAGTTGGCATGGCAGAGATTGTGGGGTCGGTTGAGGAAAAGAGTCTGCGTCAGGGAGTGGGACGTATACATTAGAAATTTTAATCTCTGGTGTCCTCCAGCCCAACCCTGTGATGTATTCCCAGGAGAATGATATTCTCTCTCTCTCTCTCTCTCTCTCTCTCTCGTTCTGCTTTGTTTTTCGAGACAAGAGTTTCTCTATGTACTATCTCTGGATGTCCTGGAGCTCTGTAAAACAGGCTGGTCTTGAATTCCTGCCTGTCTCCTGCATGTTGGGATTAAAGCCATGCAGTATTAGCTGGGTGTGGGAGCACACCCTTGATCCCAGCGCTCCGGGGGGCAGAGGCAGGCGGATCTCTGTGAATTCAAGGCTACACAAAGAAACCCTATCTGGCTTTCAATGTCATCCCCAGGCTCTCTGAAGTTTGCAAAGTGGGTTTCAAGCTGTTGGCATTTTGGAAAATTCTGAGCAGCTTCCCTTGGGTGACTGCACCACTTCATCCACAACAGAGCACTCAGGTCTATTTCCTGTCGACCTGTGTTTGCTTTCGAACCTTGAGGAACCTTTAAAGTGCAGGACAGACTGAGATGGCTTTGTGGGCATCTTCTTGTGCTGTCCCTTCTTTCTGCAGTTACGACCATGACTAGTAGTCATGATCCCATAGTAGTCAGACCTCTGGTCTCCATGTCAATACCAAGGGGTTCCTTTTCTCCCACAAGCCATAGGTCAGTGGGGCTTAGTGGGCAGCTACAATCACCAGCTTGGGGGAGTAGCAGCTAGCTTTCTGGGACCTTCTTTACCTGGACAGGAACCTCTCAAGCTGACTAGGTGCCAGAGAAATTTAAACCTCTTTGGTTTGGGTAACCAAACCTCTCTGCTGGATGGGGGAGTACAGAGCCAAGGAGGGAGACGACAGCCTGTTGGTGGCATTTGCTCAGAGTCCACTTGTGGAACCTGGAATTCAGCTCCTTGATAAGGCCATATTGGTGTCCTAAGCTTTCCCAAGTAATTCTGGAAGCCCATAAAGCTACCCCAACCCTGGGTACAAGAACAAAAAGCACAGACGGGGCTAGAGAGGTGGTACAGTTGTTAAGAGCACTGGTTCTTTTAGAAGGACCCAGGTTCAAGTCCTAAAACCCACTTGGTAGCTCACAGATGGCCATAACTCCTTTGGGCTTCCGCAGGCACCAGGCATACATATACAAAATACATGTACACAGAAAATTAAATTTTAAAACCCAAGTATAGGCAGAAGTCAGATAAGGGTATAGGACATTAAGGCTAGAGATTGGCACATGGGCATATACATGGGATAGGTGTAACCTGGGGACTCCTATACTTAGGTCCACCCTAACCATATTTAAGAAATCTCCATGCCATTTCCCTATGGTCTGCTGTCAGGTTTCAGTCTCCACTTACATAGATATGCTCTGCCAACCCCTGTCTACAGCAATAAACAGAGGCAAGCTGGAGGCGGTTACCTAGGCAGACTGTAGAGACCACAGCTAGCCTCATGCCTCTCTGCTCCTTACAGGGATGCCCTGGACGCCCTGGGCCTGAAGCGCTACTGCTGCCGCCGCATGCTGCTAGCACACGTGGACCTGATTGAGAAGCTGCTGAACTATGCACCCCTAGAGAAGTGACAGCTGGAGCTTACTCTCCTCCTCTGCTGGCCATGGGCACTCTTGTGCTGGATTAAAACTGAGGTGTTGGGAGGTGGAGGCAGTGCGTGGCCGTGGCCCTCAGCCCTCGCCCTGGAGAGAAATGCTCAGTAAAGACTTACAGAACCGCCAAAAGGTTTAATTTGTAAGACTCCACAACCGTATCTGTGCTATCTCTGAGGCTGCCTGGCCTGGTTCCAGTCTTTCCCTTCACCTGACTTAGGAGTCCAGTTTTGTGGGAGGGGGCCCTTGCTTCTGTTTCCCTGGCCTTGACCAGTTTGGTCCACTAAGTAGTCCTGCACCTCACTGCTCTAGGGTCTTTGCTCTTCCTGCCAGTGTTCGGGGTGGGCAGAGCAGAAGCTACCACACCACCCACAAGGCAGGGCCCAAGCCTGGGGAGTATAATCTGGAATGCTGAGAGTGCTTGGAGGGGCCATCCAAATCCCCATTCCCATGCTATGGGTATTCTTTTATGTTTAGGTGTTCTGTCTGCTTTTTGTGTCTTTGTACCACTTGTGTACCCAGAGGCCAGATCTCCTGGAGTAAAGTTATAGACTGTATAAGCTGCTGTGTAGGTGCTGGGAATCAAACCCAGATTTTTTTTCCCCCTTTCACTTTCAAGACAGGGTTTCACTGTGTCAACCAGGCTGGCCTTGAACTCTGTCTCCTTCGTGCTAGGATTAAAGGAATGTACTGCCACCACCCAACAAAACCCAGGTATTGTAGGAGTACTTTTAACTTCTGAGCCATTTCCAACTCCTCTGAGTATCCCCAAGGCCATATGCCTCACAGAACATTAGCTGCTCATGCCTGAGGATCTTGTCTCTAGAATCTTCCTAGGCTCAGCAGCTGGGCATCCCTGTCCCTTGACCCAATCCCCATAGGAGTGGAACAGCACCCAGATTTACAAAAGGTACTCTAGGCCAAAGGATGTCCATTTATGGCCCTGACTCCTAGGTTTCTGCATTAAGTGCCCCAGGGCACTTCTTTCTAACACACTGATCCCTCAGAGATTGTTTTAAGGCAGGGTCTCACCTGGTCTGAAACTCCGAGCAGTCAGCCTGCCTCTCGTGCTGGGATTAAAGGTGTGTAGCACAGCATGCCCCACCCAACCCCTGGTTTTTACAGAGAAAGAAAGGCTTCGCCTTGGGCTGGAATCCAGCAGGGCTGTAGTGCCCCACCTCGCCAGCTGGCACTAAAGACTGGGGTCAGGGAACAACATAGGATCAGTTTAGGATACCTTCTCAGGACCAGTTGTCAGCTGCTCACATGGGCAGCGCCAACAGACTCTCCTGCCCTCTGACCCTAAAAGGTCTACAGACTCTTAAGTGTGGGCAATCCTTTGCCTAGCTAAGTCCAGGCCACAGTGAGCTGGAAACCCTCCAGCTACCAGAGATCAGCCCAACTGTCCATGCCATTGGGCTTCCCCATCCTTGACTCTTGTGAGTACTCCAGCTTCTCTGGACCTGTCAGCAAGCTGACTCCACTGTTTACACATTTATTGAGCACCTGTTACATAGGAGCATTTGTGGGTGTCTGGGATACAGCACACAGTGGATGAAAACAACCATGCCCCATTCGGGAAGGTGGAGCATCTGCATGGTATCAGTAGTGTTATCAGTAGTGAAAAGCCAGAGCGGAGGCTGTTAGGAGCAAGAGAGGCCAGTGTGGAGCTAGAGTTCCTCCCAGCTTCCCCCATTTGTTTAGGGCAAGCAGATCTGAGGGTTCCCAGCAGCAGGCGTGAAAGGTGCCTACCCTACCTTCCCACCTGCTCACACCCACTGTGTAGGTGGCATACCCAGGTTCTCCCCAAACTTACTGCAGGGAAGCAGCCTGTGGGCAGGAGGCACTTGCTTTTGTCAAATAATCTAAACCCTACCTATTCTACCAGCCAGGCCTGGCCCAACACTGGCATACCTGCCGTGTCTTCTTACGCTGGGGCAAGGACACTGCCTCCAGCCTTGGGACTTTGGTATGCAGTGGAAGGCACTTGAAGCTGCCCCTGAGGTGGAGTCGCCAGGGGTCACGGTGACGGCATGAGGACAGCTACCTCTGGCGGTCCACAGTCTAACTCAGTAGTACTTAGTAGTGGAGGGGTAGGACACAGTGCAAGGCTGGCAGCCCGGCCCAGCACCAGGGTCAGTAGTGCTCCAACTTGAGGCTTCTGTACAAGCAGCAGGTGAAGATCATGCCGAAGACCTGCATGGGGCCAGGCAGGTGTGAACAGGGCCGTGGGCCACCAGCCACCCCAGGGTTCCCACCTAGTCACCTCCGTGTTTCCGCACCTGCACACAGGCGATGCCGATGCCCACGGCCCCGATGACACGCAGGTGCTCCTGAATGAAGGTCTCCAGCTTGGTGATACAGCCACCCTGGTGGGCAGATAATGGTGGTGGACCTTGCCGGCTCCCATGGGCAGCCCTGTCAGACCAGGCCACCCAGACAGCCCAGCCCCTTGCTGAGCATCCACCTACCTCCACCTTATAGATGTTGGAGGCATGGTCCCGCCTGCCACAGCCAGGTACCACAGTCTTACAGCAGCTGTCGGGAACCACACGACTGTCCGCCTCACCAGAGCGGATCCACTCACTGTCTCGCCAGTCTTGAGAGTTGTTGCTGCCACAGCAGTGGAACTACAAGAAAAAGGAGGCTGAGCCTTTCAGCCTGCCAGCACACAGCACCATGCTGGGAAAGCGGGGGGGGGGGGGGCTACAGGGGACACCCACCTCCTGCTGCAGCTTGTCTACAGCACTAGTCACACCCTCATGGCCTGCCTGGTGGTATCTCTTGATCATGGTGTCCTTCAGGTTCTCCTTGAGCTCTGTGTTCAGCTGTGGGTAGGCTCAAAGTCTAAGGCCTCTGATTGCGGTGCTGGAGTCAAGTCACTCCCCCCCACCCCGGACACCTCCCCTCCCACCCCTTGTGGGACTGACCAGACTAGAAGAGTAACCAGGTGGGCAATCACAAGGCCAGCCTGGAATGAGTGATGCTCTCAACCCTAGTGCGTGTGTTTCCAGATACCATGAATACCTGCCTCCCCATAAGCCCCAAGTCAGCCCCCGGGATCACCTTCCTGTGTGCACACGTTCTGGACATACCCCTCTGCCTGTTTAGGACCTTACCTGCTGGTAATAGACATAGGCCAGGATGCCAGCAATGATCTCCAGTAGGAAGATGAAGAGGAGCAGGATGAAGTACTAGGGAGCAGGGACCCAGTGAGTTGGTTCTAGTGTCAGAGCACCACAAAACCAACACCCCAACCCACAAGGCTCAGCAGGAGGAATCCAGACAGCCACTACAGGCTGGGACTGCCTAGCTTCTTGATGCTTCTCTGGAAGCTGATGTATGCCCCAGTGAATTCAACAGGAGCAGCCTACAGTACCATATCCAACCAGGAAAGCCCCAGAAGGTACCAGAGGCCCCTAAGAAATCCATGCCAGGGATCCCCAGCCCCACCACTCCCACCATGTGCCACGGGGCCCTGCTGACCAAGCGTAAGAGGTTCCGTCGCTCCTTGAAAGTGGCACAGCAGCCCAGGACTCCGGTCACCATGACAACAACCCCAGCCACCACTAAGATGTAGGCTGTGGCTAGGTAGGTGCTTGAAGCCAGCAGACTAATGTAGTCACTCTTGAGGGCCAGCGTCCAAATGCCTACTGCCATGACAGCCAGGCCAGCCAGCTGCAGGAAGTGTATACTGGTCACCACATCTGGCCTGGGTCTGGAAGCTAGGGCTGAGCCCCTAGGCCAGGCCGCCAAGATGAGGAAGAACAGGGATGTAAGAAGGTAGCGCTTCTCACCCAGAAGCAGCAGTTGTAGGTAAACAGCAGATACTTGAGGCAGACCGTGCCACATGTGGCCTTCTTCTCATTGAACTCACCCATCCTGGACCTGGAGGAATGGGGAAGCTGTCAGATGGCCTGAAGCACCAGGCCTCCAACTAGGAAGAAAGCTAGAGACCAATGGAGACAGGAGATGCTGCAGTCCCCAGATACTTCCAGAGTTTGGCGCTCAGCCAGCTGTCTGCCTTAAGAGGAGCCTTCCCAGCAACCATATATGAATCACTTCCTGGACAACAGATGAGGTCTGACACCCCTCACAGCCAGGCACATACTGGGTTATCATGGAGGACCCCTGGCCATCTGCTGACTCACTCCTGTTGGCAACTGGGGGAAAGAAGCCCCAGCAGAGCTTAAGGGCACATTCCTGTGGAGTGCCACCCCCACAGCATTCCCTGAGCCCCATATCACAGGCTGGTTGTATCTACCACTCATACCCATCCCCAGATGTGACAGTGAAGCAGAGAGCTCAGACCACCCTCAGGTACATTCTGAGGGCTCTCTACTCCCAGCCAGGGCAGGGACAAAAATATGCCAGTAGGTGGAGCCTTCGAGATCAGGCTCCCCTCAAGACTGTAGGGGGACGTCCTCAGTTCCATAGATGTGCCATTCCCCTAGGAGCCCTCCAGGCACATCCTGCCCTAGACACACTAGTGTCTGCCCTGAGGACAGGGTACAGACCTCAGCTGAGCAGGGACCCAGGCCAGGTCCCTAGACAGGCACTGAGGCAGGACTTCTCAGCTGCCACCTGCAGGCTCTGCCCAAACAAACACCAGCACTCACCTCTGTAAGTCAGAAGGACCAGCAGGTACAGGTCAAAAATCACTGGTCTGCCCTTCACCTGGCAGGTGGGATCTTGCAACTCCTCCTATGATGGCCGAAGCAGTGGTCAGAATGGTTCTCTGAGCCACCGGATCTGGAAACAAGCATAACTGCCAGGCCCTACTATTTTCTTCTGGACCAGGGTGGGGCAGAGGACACTGCTGGCCAGCCCGATCTAGGGAGGGACCAAATGCCTTCTCCAGGTGCCCCACCCTCCAGACCCATCCATGGCTGTCCCTCCCCCACCAAAGAGCAGAGAATGCAAACTTGGGGGGGGGGGGTAGCATGCGTCAAGGGATCTGCCTGTCCACCCCTGGGAATGGAAGAGATTACAGAACTCCATTTGGAGATGGGACCCACTCCAAATACATGCTCACTGGAGGCGGGCAAAGATATAAACATAGGCCTGACCACAATGCAAGCCCAGGGAGTACGCTCTAAAAGCCCAGAACCTATGGGGAGCTGGTTCATCCAACAACCTAAGCCAAGCACAATCAACGGACTGAATGTGAATTTCCTGAGAAAGTGCCGGCGTGGGAGTTGCGACCAGCCAGAGATAGCTCCTTCGGCCTGGACACAACCGCCCTACACTCCTCCTGGACCTCCCCTGGGCCCTCGATGGCACTCAGCACCCGCCCCACGGAGGAGGTGAGGCACTGAAGCCGGCAGGAGGAGGAATCCCCACGTCACCAAGATGAAGTCACCACCGGCCCTGCCTGCCCCGCGCCCTACGGTCCCGGGGGAGGGGGGGGAAACGGTGTCCAGGGACAAAGAATAGGGTGATCAGACTTTGACTTTTCGGGTTTCCGCACGGAAGAGACCGCCAGGCCTGTCTAAGGACCTCCCCTCCCCCCAGGCACTTCAAGCCTCCCCGCCCGAGCGTCGATCTCCCGGAAAGGAGCCTGCAGCCCTGTTGTATGGGCTCTGTCTCCTGGACGTCCCCGAGGCCAGCGTTGAAGCCTGGTCACATCAGTGAGAGAGGAACTCAGGACAATGCTCCCCACACCCTCCAGCCTGGCTCCACGGAGCACTCACCCACCACGCTTTGAAGTACCAAGCCCCGGCAGCCACAGCAGGAGCGACCGCTCGGAAGGTAGAGAATGCTCGGCCCGGGGCCCTGCGAGGACACGCCCCGCGTGCGACCCCGCCCCAGGCGCAGCCCCGCCCACGGCCGGCCTGGGCAGGGCATGTCCTAACTGGTTTGGTGCTAGGGAGCGCGGGAGAGACCAAGGGATCTGCCTGTCTGTGAGTCTGAAAGTTAGTTTGAGGTGCCAGTTGTCAGCAAAACCCTGGACTCATCCAGAGACAGCGGAGCTAGGCCGGAGGCAGAACCCAGGTGGGGAGTAAAGAGGAGGAGAGGGTGGCATCTAGCCCACTAGAGGCCCAGAACTGAGGCCAAGGGCAATTTCTCCTCCAGTCCAAACCGGGGGAGGGAGAGGGGAGGGTCAGGCCGAGGGAGAGGCACTCTGAGGCTACAGGTTCTAGCGGCTGAGGAAATACCAGAAGAGAAGTTCCAGGTGCAGTGTGGGGGTTGCTGGAAGACCCCAAAGAGGCATGAGGGCCCTGTGAGAGGTACCCACTGTGGAGGGCATGTTGTCTGTCTAGGGACAATGCCAGAGGATGAGGGAGAAACGACCTGGACCAGAAATCTGGCTGGCCACGGAAGAGAGGGACAGCAGGACCTTCCACTTGAGGACTAGCATGAGGGTGGAAGCCCGTTGCAACCCGAGGCCTTGGAGCTTCTGCGGTGACGGATGGTGAGGGCCTGGTGACTGTCCAGAATCACATTCACAAACACACAGAACACACAGCTGTAGGAATGGCAGGGTAATGTGCACCTGTGAATCTCTACAGGCCACCTCGTGCCATGGACACCAAGAAATGCTTTGTGGCTCCCACATACACAAAAGGCAAGAAGTATGCACAGTGGTCAGCGGCATTTATTAGTCTGATAAACAAAGATGAAGACCTTGACCACCCTGAGGTTAGTTCCTTCGAGCAGGTGATGCTTTCTGGGTAGCACCACATACTTAGCAAGCAACCAAGAGCAGTCCCCTTCCAGTCCTCTAGATAAGGAAGACCCAATGAGTCATTCGGGGCTGGTCATCGGGCACTAGGAAGCTGACCAGAGCCTCGTCTTGGGGGCCGAGTCCAGCCACAGCAGCAGCAGCAGTACGTGGGCCCAGGCTTGTGGGTAATAGCTAGAGTCTGCCTGTGGCTACTGCCCAGCAGCTTAGTCTCACAGGCATCCCTCTCATCTCGAAGCCGCAGATTCAGCTCCCTAGAGAAGAGGAGTGAGAGACTGAGGAGACTTACGTTTAGAGGAAATGGGGGTGGGGGCTCCCCTGAGTCCAGAGGACTACAGACTGCAGCATGAAGACTATACAGAACTCCAACAAGATGGATAGGAGCCAAGAATATTTGGGAGCTTGAAACCATTTCTCCACACAGCCCAGGTAGGCCTGACCCACCTCAGTAGCTCCAGCTGCCTTAGGAGGCTGAGTTTCTCTTTCTGCATGTTCCTGGAGACAGCAACCACATCTCTGTGGGGGAGAAAGTGGTGACCCAGAAGCAAAGTGGTGGAAGGGACCCTCCAACCTGACCACAGGCACCTCACCACACCTCTGGGTTTGCTCCTGACGACCCTGTGCTTCGCCCTCTAGGCGGCTGAGCTGCTCTTGCGCCTGGTCCAGCTGTGCCCGGATGGCCTCATAGGCCCTCTGCAGCTGGCTGTGGTGGGCCTGCGCCTCTAGCTGTTCCGCAGCCCGGGCCTGCAGCTGCTGTTCCAGCTGGGGAATGGTGGAACGCCAGCTGCTGAACCACGCCCCTCCAGTGCCAAGCTGACCCCTCATCCCTGCAGCTCCAAGGCACAGGGAACCCCCAAAGTTGTTGAGTCCATGCGAGGAAGCCAGCGTGAACTCACCACGGCTTACCTCCCGCTGCCGCAGGCCTGCTCGCTCTAACTCCTGCTCGCGGGTCTGCAGCTCCAGCTCCAGGTGGCCCCTCTGTTCCTCCCGGGGTAGGTTCTGGGATGTACAGTCGCACTAGAGCCTCCGCTCCCGGCTCAGAGGAGGCCGAGGAGGCAAGGGTGGGGAGCGAAGGGGTGGAGAGCGCGGGAAGGGGCACTTGCTGAAGCAGAGCAGAGTTCCCCGGACCTGGGGTAGTTTGGACTCCCGGAGGTGAGTCCTCCAGGGAGGGACCAATTCGGGGAAGGCGGAGCCAAAGAAGCAGCTGGGCTGGGCGTGGCGTGTGCGGCCCACCTGGCACTGCCCGCGGTGTCGGTGTCGCAGCTCCCCCAGCTGCTGCTCCAGCTCCTCGTACAGTCCGCGCACCTCCCTCTCGTGTTCACTCTCCCGCCTTTGAGGAACCGGGATACCACAGGCATGATCATTTGCAAGGAACCCGGATACCACAGGCATGATGAGTCCCCAAACCTCGCCAGGCCAGCCCTCACCGCCGCAGGGCCTGCTCAAGACCATCGCGCTCCCTGGCCGCCGCCTCCAGGCAGGCTGACGCGCGCATCAGAACTTCCTCCAGAGAGCCCAATAGCTCCGGTCGCTCGCGCTGCAGCCGGACCCAGAGTGTCCTCACAGCCCGTTGCCTGAAGGATGCAAACAGAGACTAGAGCTGGAGGGTGCGGGTGTGTGTCCCCTTTGCGGACCATGAACCTCATGGAGAACCCAGCGGCTCAGAACTGGCACATTGGCCGCGCACAGCTCATCCATTGCTTGATGCTTTTGTGCTTGCTTGGTCTCTGAGTGCAAGGTGGCCTGTGTACCAGGAGCTGTGCCAATGAGTGCCTAGGTGTCTAGTGGCGCCCCCACCCCCTCAGAGCTATAGCTTCCTGAAATGCAAATCTTGAGGAAAATCACGCCGGGCCGCTCTCCCAGACAGCTACAACTGACAAAAAAATGGACTGGCAGGGCCTAGGGATTCTGTAGCAGTAGACAGGCGGGCAAGGTGGACAGGCCGTGAAGAGGAAAGAGTGCACCCAGCATCAACTCACTCGCCCAGGACCCGAGCCACTCCCAGCTTCTCCAAGGAAGTGCAGAATATCTCAACATCGTCCTCCTCCTCCAGAGAGCCCCCTGTGCCTGACTCAAAGGTTTCCTCAGGAGTCCTCAAGGGGGACCCACCTTGGGCCGACTCCACCCCCACAAACTTCCCTGCAGACATGGAAGGAAAGATTACCAGGACTGTGGGTTAACACATCTTCCAAACTGCCCAGGCCACACACAGCATATCCTGCCCTCTCTCAGGGCCCAGTTTCCTGTTTTTCTTCCTTGTTCTGGTTCTATTGGCTTGAGAATGGGAAATGACAGCCAGTTCCCCGCCCCACCTGGGTTGGCAGAGAAGGGACTGGGGGAGGGCAAACCATCCCCTGCAGAGTAGGGGGTGGTGCAGCTCTCAAGGCAACCATTGGCAGACAGCAGAAAGCCTAGGAAGTTGCAAAAGGCACAGGCTTTCTCGGGGTCTCACAGGGGCCTGAGGAGGGTCTCCCAGTTGGCTGGGACCTTCTTACCCAGGCCTAGGCAGAACTCCCGGGCTGTGAGGAATCCAGTGTGGGCCTGGTCCAGACTTTCAAACACAGCCTCCAGCTGCTCAGGTGTAAGGGGAAGATCACTCTGCAGGCCCTGTCCAGGCGAGAAGGGCTGAGGTGAGCCACTAAGGTTGGCCTCAGGCCTAGCGACTCTTGGAACTGGGGCTCACCTGCAAATCCTGCCGAGTGATGAAGCCCTTGGCATCCTTGTCACACAGTAGAAAGAGCTCCTGAGCCTGTTGTAGCACCTCTGCTCGATGCCCTGCTGAGACTCCCTTTGCCTCCTCTTCCTCCTGGCCCTCCCCAGCCCCAGGCTGTTTAGGGCTGGCCATAGGAGCAAGGCTTGGCTCTGGTAGGTGCTGTGAAGCCAAGGAAAGATCAGATGAAATGAGAGGAGGGGTCAAAGTGTGGTAGAGGGTGCAGACAGGTTTTGGATCTCCTTGTATCAGGTAGGAAAGTGAACAGATGGGAAAAGAATTGGACAAGGGGTGTTCTAGGATCACTGGGGTGGGATGAAGCAGAGTCAGTACCAGAGTTGCTGTCCAAGACCAGGCATCTCAGGAAGTAGACATCCTGAGGAAAGGCTGGATCTCAGGAAGGAGCCAGTGTAAGAACATGGGGGCAGGCTGGATATGGAGGCATACATTTTTAATCCCAGCACTCAGGAGGCAGAGTTAGGTAGATATCTGTGAGTTCAAGGCCAGACTGGTCTACAGAGCAAGTTCCAAGACATCCAGAGATACATAGAGAGATCCTACCTCAAAACAAAACAACAAAAAAGAAAGTGAGACCAGGCATAGTGGCACTCGCCTTTAATCCCAGCACTCAGGAGCTATAGGCAGGTGGATCTCTGTGAGTTTTGAGGCCAGCCTGGTCTACAGAGTGGGTTCCAGGGCAGTCGGGCCTACATAGTGTGAGACCCTGTCTCAAAAGAGGAAAGTGAGCGTGACTTTCCCACAGACTTGTAAAAGCAGATGGCCAGCTCTTGGCAGACAGGAGAAAGATTTTGTAGTCAAAGAGGGCCAGAGGGTAAAGAGTCTGCTGCATCCTGGATTTGGGAGATCCCAAGCTGAGACGGCCTAAGGTAAAGGCTGAATGACTTCTGCCCAAGTCCTTAGCCTCAGGCCTGAGCCTTCTGACAGCTGGCAAGCAAGCGGAGAGTAAACCAGCCTCAGCCCCTCCCACTTGCCAGTCAGGCCTTAAGTGTGCAGGTGCAAGGCCCCAGCCGTGCGGACTGCGCGGCTTTTGAGTAAGGAACTCCCCCCACATCTCAGTTTAACACAGCCTCTGGTGCTTTCCCTTCCCCTGGGGCCTCCCTCTCACCTCCTGGAACGGACATCCCACCCCTAATCAGAGCCACCTGTCGGTCCCACAGTGTATTAACCCCGGATTTCCCAAAGCTACGGCCCAGTGACACCGACCCAGGCCGGCTATCTCACTCCTCAGTCCTCGGGGGTCATCGTCCTTCTACCCATATTCCGGGAGGAGAGGGATAATTCAACAAGCGAACATGAAGAAGCAGCATGAGACATCAACCTGGAGTGTTTACCCCCTGACGGCTACCCTCGCCTCAACCAGGCACGGTCACTACCCCACCAACCGCTCCTGGGCTCCGCGGGACCAGAGATCCATCCTAGCCGGAGCTGCGCTGCAGCCATACTCCAGGGAATCCAGACGAAGGACAGCGGGTGGGCCCACACGCAAACCTCCTCCACCCACGTCTGGGCTGGCTGCTGTGCACCCCAGGAACACTGCCGTCCCGGACAGAGACACGTGTGGTGGCCGCTCCACACAGCGGTCCGAAGGTGCGACCACCAGAGCCAGGAGCCCAGGGCAGGGATGGGGAAGCCCGGCGGGCACAGCGCTGGGACCCCGGCCGGCCGCGGGACCTGTGAGCAAATGCCTACCTGCTAGCCTCGCTGCCGCACCTGCCGCAGGCGGGCCGCTCCTCCCGGAAACGCTCGGCGGGCGTGCCCCGCCGCTGCCTGGACCCCGACAACTCGCCAGGGGCGCGGAAGGACCCAGAGCGACCTTGCGGCCTTACAGGCTGAGAGACCCCGGATAGCACGTCCGGGTGGATCCAGCAGACTGCTGCTGTCGCTTTGTCCCGCCTCCTCTCCAGTCCTTGTGGCCTGACCCAGGGTGGCTAACTCTCCCGGGAGAGCCACAGGGGGCAGCAGAGTTGAAATCGTGTCCCTCATTCCCACTGCCCCCTTCCCACCCAAGACCCAGTGAGAAGAGGATCAAGACTGCGGAGGAGGTGCAGATATCAGCCCCCACCCCGCCCGGAGTATCCAGACTTAGGGTGCCAAAAAGAGTGTAGGAAAATGCAGAACAGGAAATACACCAAATACTTTCAGTAGCTGTCTCCAAGTTTTATTACTAGAGAATGACAGCTAAGTTAGCGGCACTCCTGTGTGAGTGGAGTGAGTGTGGGGCAGAGTGAGAGCACCTTAGCAGTCTGCCCCTAGACTCCTTTTGGGGCAGTCTTAATAAGGGTTCCTCTGGGCCTAGAATAACTGGAAGATGCAAAAGTCTTACTTAAGAGGACACCCATCCACTTCCAAGGATATGCCCCCACCAAGCCCCTAAACTGACCTGAAAAGCTGGCCTGGCTGTCCACAGGCTGCAGAGGCACTGGTGTGCCCTGTGCTTCTCAAGTAGAACCACAACAGGCTGGCCCTCTGGAGACAAGAGGAGGGGCGGCCCCTGGCACCTAGGCCAAGGGACCTGCCTGGCCGGCTCACCCAGTCCTGCTGTCCCAGGTCCCATAACCAGACCAACCGTTATTGTTGGCTAGGGGCTCCAACCACAGGCATTGTGCACCTTCTGGGAGGGGCACTCGGGTGCTGGGCGCACAACACTAAGCTAAGGCCTACAAATAGACAGCTTAGCCCACTCCTTTGGGAGGGGCAGGTGGGTGCTGAGCACGTAGGACTAAATCCCACAAATGGACAGCTAGGTGTGCGCCTCACTCACAGTTACCCTTCCTCCAAGACTGTACAACACACACACACACACACACACACACACACGGTACTTTGAGGACACCATGATGAGCTGCTCCCTTGAGTTAGGACCTCACTGCCTTGCCCCAGACCTCTCCCAAGGTTCTGTCAGGAAACAGGTATGTTTACAGTACAGGGAAAGGCACAGGTGTCCTGCAGATGAAGAGTATGACAACCAAGAAAGAAGAGCCAAGCACAAAGATCTGGGCAAGATGCCCAGTGTGGGTCAGGGACTGATCTTTCCTGGTCCCCAGGCCTCAGTTCCAGAAGCTTCCCCCTTCATAGGGATCCAGCCCTGAAGTCAACTCCACACCCTCACTGTGTCACCATGTGGAGACGTATAGGTGACACCTTTTGTAAACATCTCCCCCACCCCCCCCCAGTGCTCGAGACGGACAGCATCTGGGCCTAGTGCAAGCTAGGCAGGTGCTCAACCACTGAGCTACCTCAACCCAACACCTTAGTTTTTATTACATTAAGGGTCTCAAAGTCCCAAACCTCCCACTTGAAACACTGAACCTTGAAACCTTGAAACACTGCCCAAGAGACAGTCAACAAGCCTCCGAGAAAACAGAGCAGCATACATGTGTCCTTGGCAAAGGACTGACCTTACGAGGGTCCCCAGCTTCCCTGTCTCAAAGCAATCCTGTGAGGTCCAACTGTTTTTCTTTTGCAGGTTTTTTGTTTGTTTGTTTGTTTGTTTGGTTGGTTGGTTGGTTGGTTGGTTGGTTGGTTTTTGGTTTTTCAAGACAGAGTTTCTCTGTGTAGTCTTGGTTGTCCTGGAATTCACTCTGTAGAAACAGAGATCCCCCTGCCTCTGCCTCCCAAGTGCTGGGATTAAAGGTGTGTGTCACCACTGCCCAGCAAGGCCCAACTGTTAGATACTGAGACACTGGTCAACTGAGAGAAGGCTCTGTCATCTGGCCTCAGTCAGAGGCAAGAGCAACATGCAGAACTGACTTGAGCAGTGGAGGCAAGAGTTGAGCTGTGGCTTTTATTGTGTCTGCTTTGGCAAAAATAAATAATTCACACACTCTGCAAGGAAACTTGAAAAACAGGGAGAAGCAGCAGATGTGGAGTTCTTAAGACTGACCCTGCACTGGAAAGGTGGTGGGCAGGAAGAGAGTAAGGCACAGGTGAAGGGGAGGGGCTCTGGTGGGCTCCAGGGGAGGGTCACTCCCCATCCCTCCCCGCCAGGAGTAGCATAGTGAGTGGCTGGTGAAAGGTTTCACATCCAAAACCCCCTTGCAGCGGTGCAGGGTCCCATGTCCTCATTCCACAGCATGTAAGGGGTGGGGGGAGCCAGGGCACAGGGACTTGTTCTGGCCAGGGCTCTTAGTGGAGTAGGGCAACTTGGAGCTTGGCTGGTGGCCCGGCAAGGTGGGAATGACTGTTTTCAGCAAGGGGGGAGGCCAGGTGGATGCTGCGGCATGGCAGGATCTGCGGAGGTGGGGCTGGCAGGCGTGCGCATGCGCAAGGCATCCGGAGGGAAGGCCACGTTGGTGCAGAAGAGACCCAGAAGCAGCTGACGCTGGCATTCCTCCCACTTGGCCAGTGCGTCCCCCAGTGAGAGGTTGTTTCGAACCCATTTGGGCAGTGCCTCACTGTAGGTGGCGCAGGACAGTGGCACAGAGGGCAGGGACTGGGCTCGACGCAGTTCCACCTGCTCAGACAGTCTGCGGGTGGGGAGGCATGGAGGAAAGGGAGGCTTAGTGAGACCTGAGATTCCAGGCCCCAGGCGCCAAGTCCCAGAAGCATGGGCAGCCAAGGCAGCTCACCTGGAGGGCAGATGATCACCCAATTTCCTCTTGGCCCTCATCACCAGATACTGGCAGATGCTACCCGTCTGTTCCTTCATCCACCGGATATCCTCGGGAACATCAGGCAGCCACTCCAACAAGCTGGAAAGGGAGCACCAGGCATGATCTCAGAAACGACACACTGTGTTCTGATGTTCACGCGCCTCATCCTGAAGACCCAGCCTTCTCAAATCTCCCGAGTGGCTCACTGCTCACGGATGATCCTAGACTTCCATCCCTGATGTAGATGTTGATGTGCCCTCCCCAAGCTCCCCTTCCCACCCTCACCGGATGGTGAAGGACACTGCACTCTCCAGCGGCAAAGTATAGGGCACCATCATGGCAGTCGCCAGGCGCACTGGCAGCATGTTGGAAAGGGTGGTCATCAGGTCCTTAGGTTCCACACAGGCCTCCAGAAGGGCTGCAGACAGGAAGCAGGGGTCAGCTAGGGAAGTGGAAGTCTCCCAGGGCTCCTGGCCAGCTTCCCTCCCTATGGCACACCCTCATTGAGTCTGGCAGGCAGGTGCTCTAGAATTCGATCTTCTCCATGGGGCTGCAGTTGGTCCTCCTGTCCAGTCCTCTCCTCAGCCACAGCAGCTTCCTCTGCATCCTCTTCTTGGGGAACAACTGGGGGCAGTGCCAGCAAGGGGTTGGGCTGGTTCAGTAGGCCTGGGTTGGGGGTGGGGTGATAGAGAGCTGCCATCAGAGTTTATGGCCAGCAGGGGGCATCGCAGAGCCAGCTTCTCTCACCCAGGGCTGCCCACACACCGTTCCTCCTAAGGAATCGAAGTCCATCTCGGTAGCCCTGTTTGCACATCTCTCGGAGAACCTGTAACAGAGGTATACATCAGTGCAACTGGTGCAGTTCAAGTCCTGCTGTGGAGTCCCTGCAACTGACCTTTCCACCAACAACCTGCCCTGGCCTCAAGTGCTGTAAACTTTGGAAAGTACCCAGAGGCCCCAGCGTCATGCCAGTGCAGGGGCTGTCTCTCCCCCGGTGCTTAGTCAGGACTAGCTGTGCTGGCTCACCATGGGCTCTGGCGGGAAGAGAGCCTTTGAGAGGCGGTAGAGATTGCGCAGGTTGAACTGGATGCTGGTGTTGGTGACGCGAAGCTCGTGGATGTTGGTGGAGCTGTCCTGTGGGCAGATGTCACTCTCGCCCGAGAATGGGGACACCGTGATGGTATTCTTCAGCTCATAAAGTGGCAAGTTGTCTGAAATGCCGCCATCCACATAGCGCTTTGCAAGAACACACATTCATAGTCACACACCGAGGGGCCTCCAGGGTGCTCTGGCAGCCCTTACTCAGTGACTGCGCCATCTGAGCCTTTTGCCCACTAGGCATTGGCCGCTGGGGACTCAGCAACCAGACAGACAGATGGAGTTGGGATGGGCACCAGCCACAGGAATTGTGCATCTCCCCAAGGCTGCCCTGGACCTTGAGTCATCATGGGAAGTGAGGCAACAGGCAATGAGGGACTGGAGAGGGAGAGAGGTGCCCCGATGGCCTTTCTCCTCCACCCCTTTATCTGACAGCCCAGACAGGAGATGACCTTGTCATTCTAGGGCAGGGCCAAACAGAGATACTTACCACCCCTTGGAGGGTAGGAGGGATGAGGCCACAGTATACCGGGATAAAAGTGCTGCAGACATTGGCCTGAAGACCAAGACACAGGGTAGTAGGCAAGGCTCTGACTTGAGTAAATCCCAGACCCCCCTACACAGTTTCTCCAGGGCCTACCTGGATGAGTTCATCCTTGGAGCTAAAGTGGGATATGATAACATTCTCTCCATCTGAAACACGAGTCAAGGAGATACCCAGGCGTCCACTGGCACGCTCATGGCAATCAGCAGGCAGGGTCTTCAGTAGACAGCCACGGATGGTCTTCACCAGGTTGAAGGAGGGGTGCAGAGGACCCAGGAACCGCTTCCGGGCCTCCTTGGACACCTCAATAATGTTGGCACCTGCTTCACCTGGGATAGTGGGGCCAGGATCAGGGACAACACTGCCAGCTTAGTAACCATCCTTCCCCCAGGACGCCACACCCAGGATATACTCAGACGTGTTACATTCCATGGATCCTGAAGATGCCCATGCCCACACTGGGGACTGGCTCACAGTTGGGACTTTGCCACCTAAGTGGAAGGAGGCAGGCCACCACCCTGGGGATGGCATACAGCAGGAGCTGGCCAGCTGTGATTGGAACCTGCCCTACGCCTGGTATTTCCCAACTGCCCATTCCCATGAGTCACTGTGCCTAACATGGTATGGCACGTGACCCAGGGAGTGGGGAAGACAGAGGGTCAACTCTGACCTGCTTCAGCCTTCACCTACTTGGCCCTATGTAGGTGGGTGGGCAGACCCACAAAGCCCAGTTCAGCCCAGGAGGCACAGCCCCGAGAACATGAAAGTGGTGGAAAGATGTGATTGTTTCACTCCGG